TTTCCACCCCTTTCTAACTTTTCCATGTCCTTATATTTAAAGTATGTCTCTTTTAATCTGCATGTTTGTCAGTTTCATTTTTTTTAATGAAGTCTGACAATCTTAGGCTTTTACTAGGATTATTTAATTAATCTGTATTCAATCTAATTACATATATACCTGGATTTTTATCTGTCATCTCACTATCTGTTTTCTATTGACACACCTGTTTTTTGTACATACTTTTCTTTCTTTCTTTTGGTCTAACCAAATATTTCTATTAATCTACAGTTCCCTTTTTAACTTGCTAGATATATACTTTCACTATTATTTCAGTTGTCACTCTAGAGATTACAACATGCATCCTTGACTTATTATAATCTAATACAAACTTTACACTAACAATCCTAGAACAACAGAATGTTTTAACTCCATGTAAGCCTATCCTGACTTTCTCCTAGGATCATTTTCCCCTCTGCCTAAAGAATTCCCTTGTAGTATTTCTTTTAGTGAAAATACACTGGTGGTAAATTCTCTCAATTTCCATTTGCCTAAAGTATTTACTTCACTTTAATTTTAAAAGGATGCTTTCTCTGGGTATAGAATTCTAGGTTGGCATCTCCGGCAATTTAAGATGCCATTCCATTGTGTACTTAGGTGTGGTTTTCTTTGAATATATCCTTCTTAGAGGTCCACAAAGCATTCTGAATATATGAGTTGGTTCTGAAAATTTCATGAGAAATAGTTTTAGATATTGTTTCTGACCAATTCATTCTTTCTCCTCCTTCTATATTCAAATTGTATATAGGACAGATCCTTTGACCAGATCCCAAATGTTTTTCATGCTCTTTTCTGTTTTAGTCTATTTTTTTCTTCCCTGTGCTTCAGTTTGGACATATTAACTTGCCTTCTAGTTCATTAATCATATCATCTACTAAGGCTAATATGTTTTTAAAAACATCCATTGAGTTCTTATTATCAAAAAAATTTTTGCTTCCACAATGTTTGATACACACACACACACACTCCAATTCTCTAGCATAATTCTCCACCTTCTTACCACTTTTGTCCCTTTTTTCTCTATGTTCCTAAACATAATAATCTTAAAGTCCTCGTCTGCTAACTCCGATATCTGGATCACCTGAGTTTCTGCTTTCATTGGTTTGTTTTCTCTTGTTTTTGGTCAAATGGTCCTGTCTCTTTATATACTTAGTCATGTTTTTACTGAATGCTGATTGATAAGAGGTTCCACATGATGAGAGGATGCCTCCTTGCTCTGGTGGGTGGATAGAGCAGAGAAGGTAAATTACATTAATTCAGTAAGGAACTGAGAAGGGTAGAGGCTGCATGTGGGTTTGGGAAGATGCAATCTATTCTGATTTGCCTCTAATCAAAGACCTGACTCCACAGCTCTCCACTGAGAGTATGATTGGGCTTTGTCACTTCAGCCTCAAGTGATGGCTTGGCTTTTCAAATATGTTCTGCTTAGCTCCCATCATACACAGCTTTAGAATTTGGCAAATATTGATATTTTGAGAGAGACAGAGAATCCAACTGTGTGTTTAAGACCCTTCAAGTTTCCAATTCTGTGCTTCCAGCCCCATGAAACCAGGGTTCTATACACCTGGATTCTCAGCTTTTTGTGGAGACTCACTGGTGTCCCCAAGCAAAGAGTAGCTGCAGGTAAGTGTAAATTTACCACTCATTTCAGGCCTTTCCACTCTCATCACTGGTGTTCTTAAGCCACTCCACCCCTGCCCACACCCCCAGGCCCCAGGGTAGGTCTCTGTCTCCTAAGCACCTCAAAACTCGAGAATTTCTGTTCTACTTTCCAGTGGCTTCCAGCTAGCTTAGGTCTTTAATATCGGGTTCAGAACTGAGTAGATAAACTGACTACGGGTTTTAGGCCCACTCAGGTCTCCAATTTTGTAGCTCCCCTGAGCAATGATCAAAAACCCTGCTGCTTGGATGGACATGGATGGTATTATGCTTAGTGAAATAAATCAGACAGAGAAAGACAAATACTGTATGGTATCACTTACATGTGGAATCTAGAAAATACAACAAACTAGTGAATATAACAAAAAAGAAACAGATTCACAGACATAGAGAACAAACTAGTGGTTACCAACGGGAAGAGGGAAGGAGGGAAGGGCAAGATAGGGGTGAAGGATTAAGAAGTACAAACTACTATGTATAAAATAAATAAGCTACAAGGATATATTGTAGAGCACAGGGAATATAGCCAATATTTTATAACTTTAAATGGTATATGAACAATAAAAATTTTGAATCACTGTGTTGTATACCTGCAACTAATATAATATTGTAAATCAACTATACCTCAATAAAAAAATAATTGGAATAAAAACCACTGCTGCTCTCTCTGTCCCCAAGCAACTATTAAGTCTATAACTTTCAAACAATGCTTCAAAGCTTAAGCAAAAGTGTGACTATATTCCACAGTCCTTTTACTATGCACAATATGCTAATGCATATGTTAAATAAATTATTTTTACCT